TTTAAAATACAAGAAAAAAAAGATAAGAATATTATATAACACTACGAGAATTATTATAGAAAGAAAAGTAAACTTTAAAGACAAATCAAATTTCAATTTCATACTTTAACACTAATTCTTCGCTTGTTACTTCGTTATTTTACTTAATTATTTTATAGAAAGAAAAAAAAGAAACATTACAAAAAAAACAACTAAATAGATAAGTACAGTTATTTCGTGCAAGACCAGGATTTTTGTTTCTATGAGTTAACCAAATTATACGCTTCAACGATAACATATATACATCGTACACAAATATATATTTCTTTTTTGTTTTTATAAATTTTTATTTCTCTACATTCTTCTTCTATTTTTTTTTTTTCTTTTTTTATTTTTATCTTTCTTCTCTTTCTCGTTGAACCAGAATCTCGTATAGGTGTGGCATACAAAAAGAAAAGAAATAAATAAAAAAAAAAAAAAAAAAAAATAGAAAAAAAAAATGTAGAAAAGTTGTGTAGAAAAAAAAATAATTAACGCATACGATCATACGTGTTTACAGATTACGAGAAAATGGGAAGGTGGTACGTGACAGTCCAAAGCCATCATCAAAGTAATCACAGAAGATCGAGGGGTCAAGGAAGGTTCGCATGCGGTACTTGTGATCGTCGTTATCATCAGGAAAAAAATCTGAGAAGACACGTGACAAACGAATGCGGCAAACAGCCTAAACATCCGTGCGCATTTTGTCCCTACAAAGCAACATACAAATCGTATCTACAGGTTCATATGTTGAAACATAAAAGACATGGATTCGTACCACGTCCTTCCACTACTGCTACTACTACTGCTACTACTAATATTACTAATTTGAATCATACTAATATGGATACTGAAAACGATCCTATGTGAATTTGAATTATTATATTTATTGTATTAGAGATTGAAAGAGTGATATATGAAATTTATGAGTTTTTTCTTTTTTTTTATAACGAGAACAATTGGAAATAAGGAAACGAGAAAAGATCACGGTGTGTGGTGTTCTTATTCTTATTCTTATTCTTTTTCTTTTTCTTCTTCTTCTTACAATAAATATCAGATTATAGGATTAATACAGTTAATGGAAAAAGAGATATTATTAAAACATTATGACAACGAGAAATATTTTTTTTAAAAAATGATAAAATCATGGTGACTTGTCAATACGATTAATCGCTTTTAACTACGACGCTTTCTAACTTGTTCCGTTTATACGATTTACCATGAAAATGATTATGCTGTTAAACCCATAAAAAAAAAAAAAAAAAAAAAAAAAAAAAAAAAAAATTAATTCCCAATTATATTCCCAACACTCTCCGCACGGTGGTTACGTAAAATTTGCGAATATGGTATTGTTTGTTGGCCAGGTCAATGTTCGATTTNTTATTAAAACATTATGACAACGAGAAATATTTTTTTTAAAAAATGATAAAATCATGGTGACTTGTCAATACGATTAATCGCTTTTAACTACGACGTTTCATGATATGTTGTCTTCCTTTCTTATAATATAAATAAAGCTGTACTTTTTTAGAAAAAAAAAAAAAAAAAAAAAAAAAGAAAGAAATTTTAATTCCCAATTATATTCCCAACACTCTCCGCACGGTGGTTACGTAAAATTTGCGAATATGGTATTGTTTGTTGGCCAGGTCAATGTTCGATTTGGTTGAACTATAAAATGAGTTATTATCAATATGAAAAAAGATTGAAAATAAAGTTTTAATTCCCGAAGGATCTCAACTATACGTCAAAGTTCACTTATTCATCTATTATTTTTCTTTTTCTCTATTTCTTCGTATTATTTTATTTCTTTATCATCACATACTTACGTAAACGAGTGTTTGTGCGTGCGTACTTGTGTGCTTGCGTGCGTATGAATGTATACCTTATTTTCCATATTTCATTTCAAACTATTTCGTTCCTTTATAATTTCCATTATGTTTTGCATATTTTGTTTCTATATCGTCCAAAATGTTTGTAATCGTAGCAGTGGGAAACATGGTCATATTAAAATTGTTATCAATCGTGACGATCCAACGAGGATGATATATTTGAAGGTTCTACGATTGGAAGTCTACTTCTTCTTCTTCTTCTTCTTCTACCACTACTACTACTACTACTACTACTACTTCTACTACTACCACTACTACTACTACTTCTTCTTCTTCTACTTCTTCTACTCACATTCATTCAATGATAGATCTAATCGAATCGTTTATTGAAAAATATTAACCAGGAATCAATAAATTTGTTTGTTTCAGCCGACGGGAAATATCCATTGGCAAGATTTAAGCACACCTGCGAGACCTGCGGGAAAAGTTACAAACACAAGCATCATTTGAAGAGGCATCACGATTTCGAATGCGGCATCGAACCGAAATTTCCTTGCGACTTTTGCGAACATCGTACCAGATACAAGGATAGCTTGACCAAACACGTATTGGCACGTCATCAACATCTTCTCGATCAAAACATTCAATATGGTGGCGGATACGTTCATCGTCAAACTTCGTACGATTCCAACGCAAGCGGGGATTTCAATTCAAATCAAAACGTTCAAGGATCATCCGTTTTCGTTAATTATTCGGAATTTTCTTAAAAAAAAAAAACAAAAAAAAAACAAAAACAAAGAAAAGAAAATAGAACAAAAAAAATGAATCGTATACCATCTTAATCATACACTTTTGATCCTAAAAAATTATTCTTCTTTTTTATTTTTATTTCATAACCCCCCTCACCTCCCCCTCGTTCCCCCTCGTCCATCATCCCGTTTTCCCTTTTTTCTTTTTATTCTTTCTCACACCTGGAAGAAAGATTAATTATCCAGGTGGAATGCGTTAATTGGTTTCTTATTTTTGCTTTCTTTCTTTTTTTTAAGCCGACAAACAAATAATTAGATACGAACGTGTACGATCCTATTGTGTTTCACTAATTAGGATAATAAAATAAATAAATAAATAAATAAATAAATAAATAATAATAATAATCATAATAATAATAATTATTATATAAAAAACCGATCTCTCTCCAAGATGTGATATTAATTCAGGAATGACTTTATGTTTCTATCACCGATTATTAAATAAAATAAATTCAATCTCCAAAATGTATAATAACACTTTATTAATGATAATGACTATATCAACGAGTCTATACTAAAAGCTCTCTCTATATATATAACTATGATAAATTTTTAAATTCGTTTCAATCTATCAACAACAACAACCAGTTTTTTTAAAGACAAAACAAAATTCGATGAATTCTTTTTGAATAATGTTGAAATAATATTTCGATCAGAATAAAATTGTCATCATCATTTAAACGTGTAATTGATACGAATGAGAGGGAGAGAGAGAGAGAGAAAGAGTATTTTTAGGGTACGTTTGAGAAATTGTATGTGTGCGTGTGAATGAAAAATAAAAAAGAAGTAGCGAAAAAACGAACAAATAAGCATAACAACAAGCGTCAAATGTTAGAACGATGACGATGATCCCACATCGGGAAGAAAAGAAAAAGAACAAAAAAAAAAGACAAAATAATTTGACAATGTTTAAATAGATATTTCTTTATTTTTTCTTTACAGATACACCAAATAGAACAACGACGACTACTATGACGACTATGATGGCCTACAGTTCAGCCAATTACACGTTACCACTATTATTGCCATCAACTTCGCGTGTTATAACGTACACGAGATGTCTACGATCGATGACTTCTATGTCAACGGATGTTCCAGAACGGAAAGAACTATGGGGCACCCGTAGATTCGTTTGCAAAGATTGCAATAGAAAATTCGTATTGAAGGCGTGTTTGGTCAGGCACCAGATGTTCGATTGCAACAACAAAAGGAAAAGACGCGGAAAGGGAAAGGAAATAAAACCTAAATCACCGTCTAGTAATAATAATCCGGCTACGATTAGTGCCACGGAAACAACCAATACTTCAACTACTTCTACTACTGCTACTGCTTCTACTACTTCTACTACTTCTTCTAGTACTACTACTTCTACTACTACTACTACTTCTACTTCTACTTCTACTACTACTTCTACTTCTAATACGCCGAGTGGTACAACAGAACAAGGAAAAAATATAAGATACATTTGTTCTAAGTGTCATAGAACTTACGTGTTTTTGACGTCACTTAAAAGACACCAAAGTTGCGAATGCGGTATTGAACCGCAATTTATTTGTCCAATTTGTAAAAACAAATTTTCCCAAAAGGGAAACTTAACTCGTCACTTAAGAACTCTTCATTAGGTTTATTGTTCAATTGTATTATTGATACGTATTACACTTTTTTCTTCTTCTTTTTGTTTTCCTTTTATCTTTTTCTTTATTTTTCATCGAGACTACTTATTATGCAATCGCTCTATTCTGTTCTTAGTTTTACATAACTGTAAAACGGGATTACTTTTTTTTTGTCCTATAGATGGAAAGTGTTATCTTTTTTTCGTTTTCATTAAATATATTTTATAAAGTGTGTAATCCTGTAAGAAAAAACAACAAACTAATGACGAATCATTGATATAATGCTATATGCTAAGTGTGTTTATTTTTTTCTTTTCTTGTTCTTTTAGCCAACTTTCAAATAATACGATTCTATTTGTGTTTTTATATTATAATTAATAAATAAATGTATAATTGAAAAATAATAATAATAATAAGACCGATTTTTTTCCAGATGTGATAATAATTCAGGAATGGCATTATGTTTCCATTATCAATTATTCAATAAAATAAATTTAATCTTTAAAAATGTGTTATAATAAATAACATTTCAGGATTAATACATCAACGAATCTAAAATTAAATCATGAGAATATATTGTTTCCAGATTGCTTCAAATGATCTGCCAGGTTTAAAGAAGTTCAAAAAATAATCGTCAAGAGTGTCCAAAATGTTTTGATGAATAAAAGTGTAATCATCATCATCATCATCATCATCATCATCATCATCATCATCATCATTAAATGCATAAATGATATGAATGTGAGAGTTAGAGAAAGTGTATGCGTGTGTTAGAATTAAAAAAACAAACAAGTATGAACAAACAAACGTCAGAAGTTAGAACGATGACGGTGCATCGAAAAATTTTCGCAAATAAGAAAAAAAATAAGAAGGAGACGATGCTAAAATCGATATTTTGTTTATTTTTGCTTTACAGATACGCCATCACCACCACTACCACCACCATCATTAGCAACAACGACAATGACAACAACAACTGAAATAATATCGGCCTACAATTCGTCCAATTGGACGGTACCAACTTTACCATCGACTTCGCGTGTTGCAATGTACACGAGATGTCTTCGTTCGATGACTATGACAGATGACCATGAACGTACGGGACTATGGGGTTCGCGGAAATACATTTGCAATGATTGTCAAAGAACTTTCGCGTTAAAGGCATCATTGGTAAGGCACAAGATGTTCGAGTGTAACAACAAACAACAGAACAATCGTCATGGAACAACAAACAATCAGAAAACTAACACCAATAATCCAAATTCTAAAACTACATTGGCTGCTGGTGTATCCACCAACTCAATTACTATGTCGTCATCTTCCTCATCTTCTTCTTCTTCTTCATTGTCGAATAAAACAACAATTATTCCTACTACCAATAGTATGGCTAGTATCATCGTTGAAAGAAAAAGATCAACGAGTAGGCACATTTGTCCTAATTGTCGTAAATCTTACGCATTTTTCACTTCACTTTGGAGGCATCAACATTACGAATGCGGAATAGAACCGCAATTTAGTTGTCCAATTTGTAAATCCAAATTTGCACAGAAAAGTAATTTGGATCGTCACGTAAGAACCAAACATTAGGGGATTAAAATTCATTGCTTCATTCTTCTTGACTTTTTTTTTTAGTATTATTATCGTTTAGTTTTATTTCGTTAATGTCGTTCTGGTTTATTCGGTTTTCGATATTTCATTATTATGATATAGAAATTTATTTGACATTCTTATTTTATTAATTATGATTTTATACACAATTCGTTTGTTATCTAATTCGTTAGGATTTCCGTGTTAAGTTTTGCCATTGTTAAATTCGATTGTCGTCCAATTTTGTTTAGATAGATTGTAGGAAATTATGCCTTATAATTTTGATTTTTATTCTAAGGTATTATTTTTTATTATTATTATTTAATCCTTCGTGCTTTTTAGGTTTTTTCTTTTTTCTTTTACAATCGCGATTAGGATTGCAATTATTCGATGGTTCTCTTGTTTGTTAATAATTAAGTAAATAATTCTACTTACAATCATTGTTTTTATTCTATGACAATATTAATTCTTTTATTGTTTGTTTCATTCGTTAAGATTTTTACATTTTATTAGGATATCAAAGTCAAGGTTTCAAGTCAGGAGTCAAGGTTTTTTTTTTTTTATTAGAATGCAATCGTGTAAAAATCAACGAAGAGGAACATATAAATATTTACAAATATACATATAGAAATTGCACTTAATTTGAAATATTCGGTTACAATACTACGTTCACTCTTACATTTTGATAAGATAAATTAGGTCCTTTTAATCATGTCACACTCGATAATCTCTTAGATATGATTTCTTTCTGATATAGGAAAAGAAACAAAGAAAAAAAAAATTAAAAAAAAAAACATTTTCAAATATGTGTATTATATTTAATATAGTCAATGTACGGAAGTGCGTGTATGCGTGAATCTTTAGCTAGAAAATATTATAATGAAATTAGATTTTTCCTATAGCAATATTCTAGTTGATTGTTTTGTTTGATTTATTAGAAAAATAAACAAAAATAAGAAAAGCCCCAGACACCAGACGTGGTGTTTGAACGAGTGAAAATTAACGGGAAATATCTAGAATAAATATTTCTTCTGTTAAATATATATATATATATATATATATATATATATATGTGTT